CAGGTCCAGTAATTTCCTCTTTCGTTGATGTCATGACTGCCCAGTAGTACCTGAACAGCCGAGCCGTGGCACACAGGTATGTGGCGTGTCAGAGGAGAAACGAGCCATTCACATTTCTCTCTTTGTGGCAGGTAACGGCCCACAAACCTCACCGCACTTTAGGGACTGTTCTTTACTTGTCAGGGGAGGAGGGTGGCTGGTTGATTTTTATTTTATTTATTTATTTTATTTTGATCCCCCCTATGTTAATGACTTATTGATGTTGTTTTTGAAGTATGAATAAGTCAATAAGTAATTTATTCCATTGAAATATCAGTGATGTATTATAGAAAAGTGATTTATCTTTTTATAAATGACAAAAGGCACATCTGCCTCATTTTCGCTGTGGTATCATGATACTATTCAGAACCATGATACTTTCACTGGTATTGTACCGTGGGTCCCAATTTTGGTACCGTGACAACACTAGATGTCACAACCATTCCATTCGGAGTTGCGCAGTGAGGCGGCTCGGGTGCCGCTTAAAAAAGTGTTCCCCCACTTTTGGGAGTGGGGGAACACTGCTCTCTCAGAGGCCCAAAGTGTTCCCCTACTTCTAATTTTACAAATTAAGCACTGAGAGGAATACCTTTTCAACCACCAAATATGTATCCAATGTACGATTTGTTACCACTACTGAAGTCACTTAAATGACTAAAACCAGTAACCCCAGATCAAGCAACAATTCTTAGTTTATGTCAGACTGAACTGATTCATGCAGAAAAGCTTAAGGCCCTGACACACCAAGCCAACAGTTGGCCGTTGGTTAATGTTGGGCCATCGGTGAGCGTCTGTCGCCCTTGTCGCTGTGGTGTGTCTCACAATTTTGCCCCTCATTGTCACGTGGGCGATGGCGGAGCCCATCAGTGGATGAAATGACCCTGTTTGACAGTTTAGCTCAGTGAATGAGAAAAGAAACGGAAGTGAGGAAAGTAAACAAAGAGCTAAAGTCAAGAGAAAGTGAGATAAAAAAAAAAAAACTTATTACATGAGGTAAGATTATTTTTCTTTTGCCATTGAGCTCTTTAGCAGAAACATCTCATGATGGTTTGTGTCACTGTTAACTGGCGCATGGTAAATATGCTCTGTTCTTTCTTCATTGGATTGTGTTGCTAATATGCTAACTGCCTAACTAGCATCAGGACAGTTTTCTGGTTTCCCATTTTGAATGACAAAGACAGACCGTCACCGCCAGCTGGTGTGGAGAGTTATTTTATCTCATGCAGGAGCAGAACATACGTGCTTGTTGGCTGCTGGCTGTAGTCTTTGCTGTGTGTTCATGTGCAACTTTTTGGCTGAGATAGAAAGGCAAAAGTAACTCAAATAAAATTTCAACCAAGCTATGCAGGAGACCACAGCGGGGGCCAATCCTGTCAGCTTACAACAGGAAACTGAGGCTTCAATTCACACAGGCTCACAAAATTTGGACAATAGAATATTGGAAGAACGTTGCCTGGTCTGATGAGACTGGATTTCTACTGCAAGACCAGTCACCAGATCTCAGTCCAATAGAGCACCTTTGGGATGTGCTGGAACGGGAGGTTCTCATCATGGATGTGCAGCCGACAAATCTGCAGCAACTGTGTGATGTCATCATGTCAATATGGACCAAAATCTCTGAGGAATGTTTCCAGCACCTTGTTGAATCTATGACACCAAGAACTAACACTGGACTTACAGTCAACACGCGAAAGTAAAAGGAAGAATCCAACAAGACACCCATGGCCCATCCAAGGTGGATACTTGTTAAGATGTCGGCCATAAGAACCTCTTAAGCTGTGGTCTCTGTGTCATCTGAGGTCAAAAATAACAAATTGCACATGTCTTTTTAAGCAATATTCACCATGTTGTTTTCCAGGTGACACATTTGTAAACCCAAACAGGTGAATACATAAACATATTATAAGATAAATGCCTTCAGTCGCTACAGAAATGCTATTCTGACAGGAAACTATTCAGCAGTGAGGCAAGTAATCCCTCCATGTTGAATATTATAAATCATCATTAACTGCATATCTGAAAGGTTGCAGCCAGGCTTGGCAGGTTTGCCATTTCATTTTGTCTGTTTTCATGATCACTTGTTGCTCACACATTCATGTTCATAATCAGAAGAACATGGAGAAGCACTGGTAAAAGTGAAAAACCTCCCGCATCCCCAGGGGGGTGTTAATATGAGAGGAATGTTAAGAGACAGCAGCGAGGACTTCATATTGAGTCAATCGTGTGTCATGGTAGATGATTGATTTTCTGCCCTGTAGCTACAGGAGAGGTGGCACTGCCTCAGTGTCAGAGTGTGTGTTTGTGTCAGTGTGTGTGTGAGAGAGAGGCACAGACCTGCCTGCTGATAAGACGGGGATCAATAGGAGTCTATAATGACTCCATGTTCACACAACGTACTCTAGTCCCAACATTCAAAGTGTGAGCAGAGTCCTCTGCACCTCCTCATCCATCTATATTTATGTCTCTGTGTCTGAGCTCATTGACACACATATTTTGACCTCTATGCTGTTTCATCCAACTGTACATGTCGTGTCGTTATATAATATGGTATATTCAAGTGATACAATGCATTTTTCCTCTCATCCCGATATTTCTATTTTGGTATTTAGCCTAACAACAGTACTTTGGTTTGATTAGAGGCAAACAGCACGTTGCAAATAATCTCCAGACCTCCAGTAACAAAGTTAGTTGATTTGCCTGACCTTTACAAAAAAGACAAAGATCACACCTCTGCCAGCAGCTGATACAGTGCTTTAATCTTCAGTCAGTCTCAAATAAGGCAAGTAGGGCCGCCCTGTTATAGACACTATAACAGAAAAGTTCAGATAGTGTCTGACTACTTGTGGTTTCAATTAGAGCAGTGCATCATGTTACTATAAATGACTGTTCTGCACATACTAAAAGGTGAATCCAGAAAGTAAACAATTACATTCCATTATATTGCGGTTATTGTGACAGATATTGCGGTTGCAACATGAGTTGTTAATTTTAGAGAGAATGGAAAATGATGTACTTCATTTTAACTGAGGAAAAAAAAATAGATCCATCCATCAGTTCATCCATTTTCAACTGCTTATCCGAAGCCGGGTCGCAGGGGCAGCAGGCCAAGCAAAGCACCCCACACGTCCCTCTCCCCAACAATGCTTTCCAGCTCCTCCTGGGGGACCCCAAGGTGTTCCCAGGCTAGACAAAATATATAATCTCTTCAGTGTGTTCTGGGTCTGCCCCGGGGCCTCCTACCAGTTGGACGTGCCCAGAACACCTCTAACAGGAGGCCCCCAGGAGGATCCTGATCAGATACTCGAACCACCTCAACTGACCCTTTTCGATGTGAAGGAGCAGCAGCTCTACTCCGAGCTCCCTCCAGATGTCTGAGCTCCTTACCCTTTCTCTAACACTGAGTTCAGCCACCCTTCAGAGAAAACTCATTTCGGCTGCTTGTATCCACGACCTCATCCTTTATGATCATAGTTGTGGGTTGGGGCGTAGATGGACCAGTAAATCAAAAGCTTTGCCTTCCAGCTCAGCTCTTTCTTCACCACGACGGTCTGGCACAGTGCCCACATCACTGCATATGCCGCGCCAAACTGCCGATCCATTTCATGCTCCATTTTTATAATGGAACATGAGATGGATCGGTGTATCATCAGAAAAATGATTTTTTTCTGGGGTCTGTAAGCCTGGTAAGAAGCATCCAGATGACGTGAAGTCAACATTCTGTTTCGCTCTCTGTATCAGGCTGGAATTGATGAAGCCCAGAACATTCTCCAGAAATTAAAATCCAATCTGGGTCAATCAGAGATCCACCCTATGGTTGACAATGTAAGCAGCCAATCAGGGACTGATGACATAAAATGCAGGCCGCAGCTTGCAGAACAGTAATGGCGGCTTCCGAAGCAACAAGCACTTATTCTAACGTTAATAATCATAAGTGATATACCGTAGGCAACTGGACTTGCTTGAGTTCCTTGTTGCATTGACCATCTGTCTTCTAAAACAGATGGTTTAAAGAGGTAAGAAAGCAGCCATCTACGTCAAACTGGAATAACCATTGTAACACAGAGGAGGTGGCCTACAACACCACTTATCACCGACCTACGATGCAGTCTTGGGATCCCTCTCCAGACGACTTAACACCCATTCACACCTGGATCCATCTAATCTTAATGACACACATGATGGCCAGCTGGGTCAACAACTCACATGAGACCTCAACGACTCTGAGAGTTTAGAGCCTGCGACTCAGCACCAGTCTCTTAGAACTGAAGAAGTCTCTTGGATGAGAGGTGAAACGTCTTCAAGAAACTCACGGTATAGTATAGATTACCATGACCTGGATGACTGAGAATCTTCACTGACATCTAACCCTAGTAGAGTAAACACAGCAGTTAACGTATTGCAGAAGTAGAGTCAATGACAACGATTAAACAAGAACAAGAGCATGCACTCGAAGAGTTTCTGGGAGGAAAACACATTTGCTCCGTTCTTCCGACTTCCGACTGGATTTGGCAAAAGCTTGATTTATCAACTGGCTCCATTGGTGATGAAGATGTTCCTCTGTGTTTTGTTACATTGATTGACTGAAGGAGTTTGTCTGTCATGGCGAGCACTCCTGCCCACTGAAAGTATTTGGGGTGGCGCAGAGTCCAGACTGATACAGAGAGCGAAACAGAATGTTGACCTCATGTCATCGGGGTTGGTCTTACCAAGCTAGGAGTCTGTACCAACAATCATATTCCCTTAAATCTGAAATCTAATTTATAGGCACAGGCATCTCCGTAGCAGCACAATGCCTCGAGTATGTTGTGACACATTTTACCAGTATCAGAAAAAGCAGCTCCCGCAATTTGGATTTTGTATTTGGCCATATTGTGAATCGAATTTTGATAATATTTCGATGAACTGTGCAGCCCTAATCTTAACCAACACCCATCCCCCTGTTTAATGTCTCCCTGTCTCACCTGCACAGTCCTGGGTCTGCCACTCCAGACACTGTCCGTAGGGGAAGGAGATGACGTAGGCCGAGGAGTCGACGCAGCGCTGGGTGCTGCTGCACCACATGCACTCCATAGCCTGGCTGGTGCAGTTGGCACAGCTGGTGCGCAGAGAGCAGGGCGTCCTGCAGGGACGAGCACTCTGACTCTGTGGACTCCCTGAGAAATGGGACAAAGAATAACAAACAGTCAGCGTTTAGATAATAGATACGACATCATGTTATTTACTAAAGAATTGAGTTTAGAGCTCAATAAATCATGAGACAGAGGTTCCCTTATGGTTCTATTTCTTTGGGCGTTTTATGTTGTAATTTAGTTGATAACAAAACCGCAATTTAATACAACACAAATAATGTATTACCTGTGTTCATTAGCTGCATCATGCAGCGGGGGATACACTTAATACAGCTTCCACTTGTTTTCTCACTTCTCGGTTTATTTATTTTAACAACACAGAAACTGTCAGTGTTGTTAAAACATGTGAAGAACCTAATTACTGCAATTCTTCTAAACTGTTTGGTGTGTCTCGTGCTTTGACACTTTTTGCTTCTGCCCAAGGGTTTGTTTAATCACCTGTTAGTTTGTCTGAACTGAAAACAAACTGTAGCCTCCAATCTGACTTTTATCCTGTGCTCTGAACTGTTTCTTCAACCACATCCTCCCCGTCTTTACTCATTCTGTCTCACCAGCAGGTTTTTCACAGATCAGGCCGTCGGTGGTGGCCGTGCACGGGTTGGCTTTCAGACCGGCCACCTGTGTCCGCTCCAGGTAGGCACAGAAGCCTGAGTCACTGGGCTCTCCAGGTAACCATCGCAGGCTGGTGTTGGTGAAGGGTGACGCGTCCTCCCAGCCCCAGTATGACACGTTGATCTTCCTCAGGCCGACCCAGGGAGATAACGTCTGCAGGGGTGGAGAGAAACAGGAAAGGAGACATGTTAGAAGAAGATGATATTTTATTTTATTTTCTTCAACATCTCTGAAATCAAGGCCAAGCTTCATTTACAGCTGAATGTAAAGCTGTTAAAGGGTTTGGTTATTGCTCTACTGGTGTTGCCAGTCACAATATCTATAGACTCTGAGTTAACTTCAAGGCTTTTGAGACTCCCAGTTCCCAAGGAGAGGAGAGATTGTGATGTTTTGTGTACTCTATAATACAAGTAGAGAGAGGACAGTCCGTCTGAAATTGTTGAGGAGTTGTGGCAGGTTTTCAAACAGCAGCATTTTAGAGGTGAGGTCAACCCAAGAGACACCACAGAAATACAGACACAACAACCGATGTTTAGACCAAACATGGTGGAGCTCACTTTAAACAATCCTTAGGGGGCGATCACACAGAAATGAGACGCTAGAGACGCGGACGCTTCAAAGACGCTTGAAACACTGGAAGCGCTTATTCAATGCGCGCTAGCGACTTTTAGGCGTCTACGCGCGTCTAAAAAGACACCGGAAAAACACCCGTCTAAAAAGACGCTTGAACGCCGGTCGTAGGAAAACAATGGTTTTACTGGCGTCGCGTTTCTAGCGTTTCATCTCGGTGTGATCGCTCCCTTACAGTAACAAATATAGAGACATGGGGAAAAATGCAACAATTTAAAGGTCCACAGTGTAATATTTAGAGGCATCCGTTTGCAGAAATGGTATATCCGTAACTATGTTTTCATTAGTTTACAATCACCTGAAAGTAATCATGTTTCCATTACCCTAGACTGAGACGTTTATCTACATAAGGAGCAGGTCCTCATCCACAGATTGTTTCTGTGTGGCCTGACTGTGTCTGCATATATTTACATGTACATATATATGTAGCTCAGTGTTTAAGGCTACTGACTTTGGCGGGAATGACTGGGGATTTGATTCCCGGTCAGGGCGGGGCTAATCTAGTCCAGACCCCTAGGCAAGGTTTTCTCAGGTGAATGAGACTACAAATGCAAGATTCATACCAGTTCGGCCGCCTACAAGGTCGGCATCACGTGTTGAGGAACCTGGGCAACCTGATGAGAAATGGGCTAACCCTAACGAGAGGGGTAACGTACAGAGAATGTGGGACATATGGATGTTTGAAATCAAACATCTACGCTGACAAAGAAACAACTCCTCGCCCCAACTGCAACTGCTATTACAACTAGAGATCGATGAGGTACAACAAACATGCTATGGCAAGGGGGTGCCAGGTAGCGGATGTCATCATCATGTCATCATGGAGGCTGCGAAGGAGTCAGCCACAGACAAATACCTACACTGAGTAAGGCGGGTCCTGAAAAGTCTGCTGAACAGAAAGAACAAGGTCCCAGCCATCAACACATTAGTGCTGCCAGTCATCAGATACACCTGAGGAGTCTGAGGAAGAGCCACACAGTCTGAGGAAGAGCAACACATCCCTCTGTGTTAAAATCCTTTAAAACTGGAGCTGCAAACATATTTGTTTTCTATTTTGCCTCATCCACAGAGTCACCATGTTGTAACTACAGTAGCCCAGAACAGACAAATCAACCACTGGCTCTAGAGCGGGGCATTCGCTTTTTTGCGTTTATACGGCAGCCATCATTGTTCTCCTGCATGCTGCAACCTCATCATTAGATGCCACTAAATTCTTCACACAGGATATTTAAGCTGAAGATCAGCCAGAGTTGCTAGAGGGAAATTTAAAACAGCAATCAACAAAATTAATCCTGATAAACTTTATTTATTACTTTTGTCTTGCTTGTTTATTTTGATAGTTTTTTAAGAGACAGACAGGAAAATAATGAGCCCTTGTTGTGTTCAGTTCACATGCATACAGTGTCCTAGAAATGTTGGAAAAAACACATTAGCGAGAACAAAAAACTGTGTGAGCAAAAAAACTCTGCAACTAACACAGCAACTGAGACGCAGCCCTCTGCTGAGAGAAGTCACACGGCTTGTAACTCCGAACAAACATTATGTTGCTTTACATGAAAACAGATCTTATATCAAACCTTCTGCAAATTACTCTAACTGTTGTAAAAGCAGGGACTCTTCAGATTCATAGCATTAACTAACTCAGGAAAGATTTTCAAACAACGGCTGTAATTAAAGTGTGAAGTGTGGCTCAGTGAACATCTGAATTATTTGCTGAGAAAACAAATCTGATTTGTTTAATAAAGGCTCATAATGATTATGAAGGAGACAAACTATTTCCCCACAGCTGGGATTTATTTACACTGTGTCTGTATTTATGACTTCTCATGCACTCGTACTCAGCAGCTCTGTTGAGAACACTGTGCAGTCTGGGTGGTATCTGGTAACTGAGTAAAGTCATGCTGATGTGATCTCAAAAAAGTGGAATTACAACACGAGAGATTTCGAATCATTGTCACCTAAAAGCGTCAACGTAGGATAAAAAAAAAGAATCAGTGTTAATTTCTTTGACAAAAACTATGACAAAAAATTTCCTTAACAACCTTTTTTCCATGATGACAACGAGGCAATGACGAGCTAAAAACAGATTCTGAAAACTGTCAGACATTGAAAGCCGAGAATAGCTGTGCTTGCAGTTATCTTCAAATGCCACATGAGCAACAGGGTGGTAAATTCCAGTAATTAGTCTGCACCAGGAAGTTTTGCTAGCCAGAAAAAACACTCAGAGCGGAGCAGCATCAGCCGAGTTGTGAGCTGTAATTTAGCAGGAAATGATGAAGCTGCAGAATGGATTTGTGGAGTTTGTTAGTTGCAGCTCCGCTTGTTAGATGCTGAACGGCAGCAGAGCAAGCAGCCACCAGCCGGCGGACTTCACAGCTTCACCCCGCAGGACTCCACTCAGTCCAGACTGGAGAAGGTTTGTGGGTTGATGGTGTTTGACAGGCAGGTAGGAGGTTCAGTTATCTGTGAGTGTAGCTGTGCTGTAAGTAAACAGTCTGAACAGATCAGTTTTCTCTGACAGATGAAAGTTTAGTTTGAATCACCAACTCTGTGAGAGGACACCAGTTTAAACCTCCAGACTAACATGTTGCACATGAAGACAGAATTCAGGCTTTAATGAAGTCAGGAGCAATTTGGGGTTCAGTATCTTGCACAAGGATACGGAGGAGGTGCCTATCCTCCAGTTGGTGGACGACCTGCTCTACCTCTGTGCCACAGCCGTCCACAGCTAGCTTTGGGGAGGGCCAAAAAAAGAGTCCCTCCCCAGCCACCCCTTCCTCATATAAATAAAGAACCAATGTTCAAATATTCGCTCACATTTCTCCTGACGCTGCACATATATCAGAAAAACTGTCTGAGTGGTCAAATATGTCAGCGTCTCAAACTACAGTCCCACCATAAACATCACAAGTCGACAGTTCAATCCATTTTAAAGGTGATTGATCTGGTAAACGGCTCCATGAAAGAGTCACACATGAATGTGTGAAACATTAAACATTTACATCCTGTCACTCAGGTGTTTTTTTACACATCTGGGTTTACTGCGATGGAAAGTGATGATGAAGCTGGTTTCTGTGCTTCATGGTGGGCTGAGAGGGATTACAGCTCTGTTTATTTTTCATGCCTCGAAGCCACATCAGAAATATCCTGGTGAGAAATTTCCGCTCCTTGTGGTGCTGTGAAAATATTTTTTTTTGTATTTTTTTTTAAGTCTGAACTTTGATATTGATATGAATATCAAATGACCTAAAGCTGCCTCTTACAAAACAGCGATGTCATCATATGCGAATATAAATGGCATAAGAAAACCACACTGCAGTGTTCTTTCATTGATCACATGTTGATATACGCTCATGTTTAATAACCCTTTACGATACTGAGACCACACGTTCTACGGCTTCTAATAATAAATAACTTCATATTGATGATGTTAAGGGAACACATCTTCTGGCCTCTTATAATAATACATCACAATGTCATAGAAGCAGCATTATGTACATGATGTCATATAATGAACGCGTGGCAAACTGTGCACAATTGTCCACATTAATCAGTAACACATTACAACAATCCATTCTCCACAGGAGGGATAAAAGCAGCTGAAAGCTAAAGTTTCATTCAAATGCAGCTATTTAATAAGACTATGTGTACATATAAATATATGGTGGTGCCACAAATGCACTGCAGTGCTGTGAAGAATTTGCTTTATTTCTTTCCTACGTTTCCTACATTATAAATCAGCCAAAGTTTTTTTTTCCCCAACACTTATTGAAGGAAAGGTTCGGATTTTGTTCAAGTTACTATACATAAATGGATGGATAGGTTTAGGTCATGTGGCATGTACTTTGTCGTGTTTATTATACAGCACTGGCCAGCGGCATTACAAACTGCCACTGGCCAGTGCATTTCATAACATCGTGAAAGGTCCCTTTGTGCGTTGGTATCTTACGCGGACGTCGACTGACATAACGCTGGTATTTCGACAGCTGCTGCTGTTGGCCACTGTTACAATAATTGCCATTACCTGGTGTGCAGTATACCAGAGTGTACCGTTCTTTTACCTTCAGCAACAAACACACGTGGTTACATTTTGCCAACACAAGCACAGTTTAGGCAACAAAAGCTCATGGTCAGGTTTAGGAAAAAAGAACAGGGTTTGGCTTTACAATCACATGGGAAGCGAAAGGTGGAGGTCGGTGGTTGTTGGGTCTATACCTTGGACCATTCCATTCCACCCTATTCGGACTTTTGCCACCTAACCCTAACCCTTAACTTTCGGTGTTGTTCCATTGAGTTTCCCCTGATGGCACTGGGTGCCATTAAACAATAAGGGCAACTGGCTATGTATCATGCCGACGTGAAAGGACGGCTTTTCTCGTCAGTGTCTAGTGCCAAAGTCACTGACCAAGCCCCCATTTCCCATGACTTCAGAGTGAGACCAGGTTGACCACTGCAAAAGGTGCCTTTGTGCGTCAGTAGGCCTATCTAACACCCAGATCACGGATGAAGTGGCAGTGTTTGACGAGTTTGGAATAAGAGCAGGTTATCGTATAATCTTTCTTTTTTTCCTTAAACCCAGCCACATGCATTTGTTGCCTAAACCCAACCGCGTGCATGTGTTGTTGAATTTCACAACCAGGGAACCAATGGTCCGGAATGACCTGCCCGAGGTTATAAGGCTGTTTGAGCCAGTGGTTTTAAGTCTCTCCTAAAAATGTACCTCTATTAGAAAGCATCTCCTGAGTCTGTCTGTATTGCTATTGAATTGCTTATTGAATTTATTTCCCATTTACTACCTTGACTTTAGATGTGGAATGTCCATGACCAAATGTGAATATGTGACGAGGTCAGAGTTAGAATGTGTTGAAAAAACATGGTCGTGCATGCCTGGATACATTGTGTCCTATCCACTTTAGAATTAAAAATCCAAACCTGGTTGATAGAGTTACTGGTTACTGTAATCATCCACCATCTCTCCATACTGGAGATCCCTTACTACCGTGAGTCAAAGGAAGGTTGAACTTTGACAGGATCAACTGATTGCCAGTATGAACATAAAAGCCCCTTTTACACTGCCAGATTTTCTGCGAATGTTGGGCCGTTTTGCTGGCAAGCTGTGAGCGTTTAGTCACACAGAGCCAGATTGGCGAGTTGATCCAAGGTACCCAATTTTCCGCCTCATAGGGTAGACATATTGGTGGAACCCTTTTAGTTTAAACAGACCAAGTCGGCCTTCCGCAACGGAAGGGCTGTTGAAGACTTGTGGGAGGAGCTGTTGATGACGCTGCACGTGTGAGCCACTGGCGGTGGATAAACAGGAAACAGCTGATAGCAGGAATTTGTGAGCAGCTAGTAGCAAGAGGAAAACGCAAACCTGACAGACACTGTAAAGATGAGCAACTGGGGAGACAAGGAATTGCGCGCCCTCCTTGCCCTCGCAAACAAAGAGGCCATTAACCGTCAGATGGAACGATGAAGGACGGACCGACTTACGAGAGAATCTTTGAAGGACTGACCAGCCGCGGCTTCCCTCCCACGTCACTGTTTATGTCACACGCTGAGCTACATGTTTTGCTACTTTCTCACGCCCCCCATTGCCCCAAAAAAGGTGCATTCTAACAAAAGTAGGTAGACGGCATTTTGACGCACTCCCCGTTTTTTTTTGATACTGCCAATGCTGAAAAAAACTGATTGGGCTTTCCTGCAAATTTGCACAATTCCTATCTAAAAAGGGCTAAAGAATGGTGACAGCAACCCACAGCTCCTTCAGATATGGGCATGTGACTCAGTTATTATATCAAAATCACCTGGAAAAGACACAAATCATGCATGGAGTTAGTATCGGCGATAACAGCTGAACATGAAGGCTTTCTAATGTTAACAAACCTGACTTCTTAGTTTGAATGATCACGACACAACATTGATTTGAAAAGTGCACATTTTCATTCACAAACAGAATACACACACCTGTAATATGCTTTCTATCAAGGTTTTTCCAGCTCATATTTAATTGGCTGATCTTACCAAACCTGTTTGAAGTTTAGCTTTTACATCATAAATCTCTCACAGAATAATGGTGTGTAAAAAGCCACAGCAGTTTTTATAAGGCGGAGAAGCCAGAGCGGAAAATAATGAATAGCCTTCACCAGCACCGTTAACATGCAGGAGTCCTGTCTCATTTCTTTTATTTATGAATTTATGTTTCTACACCACCCACCTTGTCTTGCAGCTGGTATTTTTGTAGCTCTTCCAGAACAAAATTGACTTGTTTGTCTGTGAGCAAAGAAGCAATATTTCCTCCCAGGTTTTTGCAGTAGTGCTGAGCGTTATCATAGCTCTCACTGCTGGAGTTGATCCTCAGGCAGGCATCCCCGACATGGTGCCAGCCCTCCCCGCACAGCTGGCCTGCACACAGAGACACACACATACTGTATTTACACCTTCAGTACATCTGTTAACATTCTTAGTCATCAGAAAGTAGAAAACACATGATTACAGTGAGAGTTTCTAGTCTGCTGGAAACTGTAGATTCATTAATGCTCATTAAACACCAGGAACATTAGCATGCCTATAGCTGTATTATACTACAAGCTAAACAACAGTTTAAACTTGGTCCCTGTGTTCGGTTCCTATGCACGTATAGCATTGTACTGAGTTTTTAACATGTCTCTCTTGATATAGACCTAAGGTGTAAGAGATTGTTAAAGGCTATCTTTGCATAAAGTGCTAAAAAACAAACAGATGAACGCTTCAAATGCAGTTTGAATGGTAAAAAAAACTTGAGAACTAGCACCACCACTAGATGTCAGCTAGTCTCATGCGAGTTGCCATGTAAACACAGCACGCCTGCAGGGCAGGCTAACTGACCACAGTGAGAAATTACGTGTTTTCAGTTTTGCATGTCGTGGCTTCAGGGCACTTGGATTACGACAGACGAGCCGTTCTGACGTTTTTGAAATGCATTAGCTGAGTTTAGTAACATTTTCAAAATGTGGGTTCCATGCACTTCAAGTGTAACGTTGGCTGTTATTCCTGCTAGCTGTTATCCTCCGATACTCCGAACGAGTTTTGTTGATTAAAAAACTACACTGGACTTCTTGTAGGCATGAGGGTCAGTAAGTATTGTCTGTATTTTCATTTTAAAGTGGCCTTTTTCTTTAAGAAAACTTTGCACCCAAATTTAGGTTTCAAAGAGTAACGTTACAACATGTGAGCTATAAGCTGTATGTGGTGATTTCAACATATTAGCCCAGGGAAACATACACTGACAATCTGACTTCTGGAAAAACATTGCTGAGAACATAAAACCCCTTGAAAACTCTCCTTAGTGTGTCATATAAGGAGAATATTGAGCTGGAGAACAAGAAACCTAAAGAAAATGCTCCCAAGATGCTACAAAGTTAGCATGTTGGCATGCCTACACTTAGCTGTTAAGCATGCCAATGATTTGCTTTAGCTTGTAATGTTTAGTATGTTATCATGTTGGCATGCCTACACTTAGCTTTTAAACATGCTAATGATTAGCTTTAGCTTGTAATGTTTAGTATGTTATTGTGTTGCCATGCCTACACTTAGCTTTTAAACATGCTAATGATTAGCTTTAGCTTGTAATGTTTAGTATGTTATGTTAGCATACGCACACTTGGCTTTTAAACATGCTAATGATTAGCTTTAGCTTGTAATGTTTAGTATGTTATGTTAGCATACGCACACTTAGCTTTTAAATATGCTAATGATGATCCTTTAGCTTGTAATGTTTAGTATGTTATTATGTTAGCATGCTTACACATAGCTCTTAAATATGCTCATGATTAGCTTTAGTTTGTAATGTTTAGTCTATGTGTTTAGTATGTTATCATGTTAGCATACCTACACTTGGCTTTTAAACATGCTAATGATTAGCTTTAGCTTGTAATGTTTAGTATGTTATCATGTTAGCATATGCACACTTAGCTTTTAAATATGCTAATGATGAGCTTTAGCCATGGCCATAACTAGCTATGAGGTACCCGAGGTAAATACCTCAGTTACTATTTCCTGGGATTTTTTATAAAAATATACATTTTACAAAAAAAATATGAAAATCTAATTCATAGAAGGATCACAAATTATATTAACCGCTACAGCCAACAATCAGGAGTTGTGTTTCAAAAAAAAAAAAGAAAAAAAAAAAAAAAAAGGAGTTGTGTTTCTGCATATGAGGTCTCGTAACCTTTAGCCTTACACGTCACGTGTACCGGCACTGACTGGACATGTTTTGGGGTGAAGAAGAAGAGATTCTCCGCGTGTGCTGAGACCTAAATGAGAGGTAAGGAACGAACTACGAACATAGGCTACTCACCAGTTCGCGCATCTGTCATGATAATAGTTTTGTTGAAACAAAAAGAAAACACTATTTTGCAGCAGCTGTATGTACTTGCCCAAGACAAATTTCAACTCGGGGGACAATAAAGTTTATCTCATCTCATCGTCATCTCATCTCACTGGCTAACGTTAGCTAGTGTAATGTAACGAGAAGGAGATGTGTTGCACTGCGTGAGGCAAATGGTGGTCACACCAGATACTGACTGGTTCAGTGAGTTGAACCCTCTGGAGACAGGATCCAGCCAGCCCTCCAAAAGGTCAATAATAGCCTATATATCTATATCTGAGAGTGCCAAAAGTAAGAAAAAATAAAGAATCCAGTCAACAACATTATGTGATTGTGTATTTGTGTAATTGCACAGTTTAAAACACTATTTATTTTACTTTTTATTCATAAATAAGTGCTCAAAATTTTTTTGCTCGCACGCTTTGCGCGCTTGCATGGTTTCTACCTCACTAGTTTCATAACCCTGGTTATGGCCCTGGCTTTAGTTTGTAATGTTTAGTATGTTATCATGTTAGCATGCCTACACTTGGCTTTTAAACTTGCCAATGATTAGCTTTAGCTTGTAATGTTTAGTATGCTATCATGCCTACACTTAGCTTTTAAATATGCTATTGATTAGCTTTAGCTTGTAATGTTTAGTATGTTATCATGTTAGCATGCTTACACATAGCTCTTAAATATGCTAATGATTAGCTTTAGTTTGTAATGTTTAGTATGTTATCATGTTAGCATGCCAACAGTAACTTTAGCAAGTTAACATGACATCATTTCACTCTCATTTCACTCTCATTATTGTATTAGACTAATAGATAGTTAGCTTGTGACCAGAAAGTTAGCTAGCTCATGCTCAGCTTGTCATGTGTAACACCAACCTAGTGTCAAATTAAAGCTAATTTGTATTTTCAATGGTAAGAAATACACTTGGGTAAAATAAATTACAAAATGTAAGACAACATCAAAGCAATATAAAAACTGTAACTCAGGTACTAGGAGTCAGATGCAGGCTGCAGGAAAGGTTAAACAATGTTCACTTGGTGGATGTAAACCAGGCTTCATTAATCAGCGTCTAGCCAGGCAGAACCATCAACCAAATCCAAAAAGGCCAACATGTCGAGGGTGTTAGTTCTTCAAAACAAGCAGGAGGACAGTCTGACAGAAAGGAGGTGCTGCTCTAGGGCTGGTATATGTAGACTAATGAGGCAGTGAGGGCAGGTGTGCAGGTAGGTGGACAGTCAGGTGACCAGCAAAGGTGGGAAACTCACTGAGGGCACCTCGTGGACAAGACGAGAATGACGCTAAAATTTAAAGCTGCTGTGATGGACTGGGAAATAAACTGTGCTGCCAGATTCAACAACAGCTTTAAGAGAAATACTTCTTGGTAATGTGGTTAATAAATAACACATCTTGTTGGACTGATTTTATAGGCTGATGTTACTGTTGATTTATGCTGTTATTTTAGATCACAGCATCACATTACTGCTTTGTACTGACCTGACTCATCAGTGATTAAAAGGTTTTGTTACACATGGGAGAAAGAAAAGTGAATATATGTGGTGATTGAAGAGTCTCAACAAAGTTAAGTAAGACTGGCAGACCCATGAAAACACAAATACACACTCACTGTTGTTATCAGGGTCACTTGGTTGCGTCTTGAGACTATAATAGCAGAGCGGCCGTTCAATTAGCCAGGATGAAAGGGAAGAAAAAGTCATTCTGCCTCCACTGAGCACCGCTGTTTATTTTGGACTCCAGGACTGATTACATTCACAGGCCCATAATGGCTTCCATCACCAACCTTTTCATGCTACAGAAAAGAAAATACCTGCTCTCTTTATTTTTTTTTCCTACGAGCAATAGCAATGGGCAATAATCAACCAAATAACGAGAAGAAAGACAGATGAAAGGGTAAAAAAAAAGGAGGAGTATAAAAATAAATAGATTAGGTTACGGTCTTTGTGTAAAAGTAGAGATAAACATGTCAGGCCATTTAGAATAATTAGTCATAACATGGTGTCTAAAGAAAAGGCCACAGCTGCCATGGTGATGGAGCTAGTTTCCATTACCCCGGCTCATCTTAGCCACACTGCTCCTGCAAATGTAATTTCATAGAAAATGATAGAAAATTCAGAAGCTTTGTTTCTTGCCTTGTTGCACTAATGGACTCAGAAACTCTCACAAAGACATGGTAATTTCATTAGCGTGACCAGTGACCCTTTAAAAGGCCCCGTCCTAAATGGCAGCATTGCTTCCAGTTAACACATACAAAGACTGGAGAAGAGACAGTTATGCCAGTCGTTGTGCTGAACCACAATACTCACGCTGGCTCCAGCCGCCAAAACACAAAGAGTCAAAGACTCCACAGTGCAACATGAGAAAGTTCTTTCAGCTTTATGCAAATGTCATCTGATGTTTGGTAGCTGAGGCCCCCAGTTGTTTTTTACTCCACTCCACTACACCAACAAGCTTTACACAAAATAGAGAAAACTAGTATTACAGCCTTGCAGTTGTATGCCTCCGCGCACCTGTCAAGTTGCAGTTACAGTTCACATCCATGCCTGTCCAGACTCATATGTAGCCATGACAGTTGACCAAAACATGGATGCTTCACACACAACAGCACAGAAGATCTATACAATCAGCACAGTTTCAAGGCGAACACCAAAAATTAGTGTTTCTGAGGGATACTATGATGTCATAGAGAAGATGACCTTTGACCTTTTGGATATTAAATGTCATCAATTCATCTTTTTATCCTATCAGACCTTTGTTTCAGATGTTGTCATAATTAGCAAATGAATTCCTGAGTTACGGCCGAAGACCTCGACCTCTGACATCCGACCACCAAAATCAAATCAATTAATTTATAAGTCCAGGTGGATGTTTGTGCCAAATTTGAAGAGATTCCTTCAGGATGTACTTGAGATGTTCACAAGAATGTAATGGACAAGGTCACAATGAACCTACCCTTCAACCACCGAATTCTAATCAGTTCATCCTTGACTTAAAGTGAACGTTTGTGCCACACAGTGTTGGGCAAGCTAAGCTACCAGTTACTCTACACCAAAATAAGGTTTCACTACACTAAAGCTATCCCCAGAGAAATGTAACAGGTTAAGCTACAAGAAAATGGCTTTAGCTTTTTTACTTGCAGTTACTTTTATTTTTTTACTTTATGTCAAATCAGTTTTCTCAGTGATCAGAAAAACTGTCAACCGAACAAATAGGCAGGTAGTTGACCTGTTTGTAATAAAATAACAGACTTTACTACTTTCTTCTTTTTAAATTTTTTTTTAAGACTTCATGAGATTTGAACTTGTCCTCCAATAACATGCCATGAGTAGGGCTATCGCTATCTTGGCCTCTTTCAGTCGGCTATCTGGCTCTGTCACTGATTGAAGAACAGAATTCTAAAATACATTTTTTTGTTAGAAAGGGCTGTTAGAAAGACCTGCAGGGAGATTTCTCAGACTCTGGAGTGGTGGTACGCTGTGCTACTGTGCAATAAGCAAAGGTATGTTTGGAGAAAAAAGGATGCAGTGTTGCAGCCAGTGGCACGGGGAGCATTTCACAGGTAGTGAGAAGAATGGATTCAGTTAAATTCCAGCAAATTCTGGAAGCAAACATCACAGCATCTGTAAAAAAAGCTGAAGATGAAGAGAGGACGGCTTCTACAACAGGACAGTGATCCGTAACACAAATCCACAATGGACGATCTCAAGAGGAGCAAGCTGAAGGTTTGGCCACGCCCCTCACAGTCCCCCGACCTAAACATCATTAACATCTGTGCATAGACCTCAAAGAGCAGCACATGAAGATGCCCCAAGAATCTGACAGAGCTAGAAGCCTTTTGCAGGAAGAATGGGTGAAAATCCTCCAAACAAGAACTGAAAGACTCTGAGCTGGATACAGAAAGTGTTTAGAAGCTGTGATACCAAAGGGGGCGCTACTATGTACTGATCATGCAGGGTGCCCAAACTTTTGCTTCAGGCCCTTTTCCTTTTTTGATTTTGAAACTGTAAAAGACTGAATTAAAAGTTAATCTTGCTTAAAATACTGAAGAAATGTTTCATATTTAACTTGAAGCCTTTTAGAGATCAGTTCATTTTAAACTCACTTAACTATTCACAATAAATCAAATTTTGACCAAGGATGCCCAAACTTTTACATGGCATTGTATAATCTGCTTACAAACCTTACACCTATAGACATCTCTTGACCTGTAAATAACCAAAAGCATTATTTCTGGGGCTGCAGTCCACTACTCCAGATCATGTACAGTATTTTACCTCAACTGAGCAACAGAGCCGGCTAGCAGCTCATAACAAACCGAAGTAGGAGGATATGTATGAGGCTACGGGGCCTTGATGTGGACAGAAGAAAGGGAGCAAACACAATGCCAACCTCTGCTTAAAGCTACTGCAAACTTCCAACTCATATCAGAGCAAGCTAGCCAACAGGATCATTTGTGGATTCAACTAGCAAGGGTATTTCCTTTGCCCTTAGTCATGCTGGCGCCAAAGTCAAACCGAGAGCAGCTCTAGCTGAAGGCTCCGCAGCAGTGTGAAGCGGAGCATGGAGTACTGTGTGGACTCAAGTTTGTTAGTCGGCCAAGGATCCATATTCAGAACACCCAGTAAACACTTCTAATTGGCCTACTTCCCTTTGCAGCTGAGTGGAGAGTTATGTGTTCATGCTAATCCTCTCTGTGTACATGCCTGCACAGATGTATGAGTGTTGATCTGTGAAGATCACGAATAATATGCAGCAAGTTGGTGTGGGAACATGCAGACACTCTGAAGCTGTTTGTCTGTGCTGCTGTATGTTTAACAGGACACAGCGCTCCTTCAACAGCTTTGAAAAATATTCACTACAGCGCTGATGATTATAAGAAAGACTGTGAAGGTTACTCTGCCAGACTCTTAATGATGCCAGTGTTCACTCCAATATCAAATCAAAAAGATTATTATACAGTTTATGCATGCATGCGTTTGTGAAGCTGTTTGTGTACGTCTCTGTGCGTAGATCCTCAAGGCGTTTTAATTTTTGCTGCATAATGTCTCAACCTGCCGCAGGAAGCAGCTCAGGAAGCAATTCACAGGTGCCAAGTCGCAGAAAAAGTATTTCTCCCCAAGATTTACTCTGAATAAATTGTGCTTTATGAATTTTATTTAAAGCCATGTGTTCAGGAAATATCTGAGGAAAAAGAAAAAAGGAAGTGTTGTGTCTGTGTGCACGTCTCCTCACCAGGAAGCGCTTGACACTCCTGCTGCTGCAGCTCCCACTGACAGTTGGCGTTGAGGGAGCAGCTCCTGCAGTTGGCCAGTCTGAAACACTCCTGCTCCTCCCGGCGCTTACAGCTGGACGAGTCTCTCACCGACTTCAAACACATACACAGAGGAAACAATATCAGTCCAGTTAAACTCCATCATCACTGTCCTAAATGCAATGAACTCAGAGGGATCGATACGTTGTGCAACAAGAGCAGAAGATAAATAAAGTGTGATGGTTGAAGGAATCAAACAGCCAAACAGAACATGCAGCATGAGGAGAGAAATCAATATGAGGGACACATTATACTGAGATGGACTTTTTATTGAAGCTGAGTGTATTCTTTATGCTGTGTGCATCCCACAATACAGTTCAACTTTACAACTTTAGAACAGACCTTGGTTCTTTTCAACAGAACACACAACTTTATCTCAGTGGAAATTTTAAAACTTTCTTGTCCTTCTCCTTGAATGGGATGCAGCCCAGTTGCCAGAAGAAAATGTTGGCATTGTACATTTCTGCAAACCATAAATAAGTTACATTGGGCCTTATCATATCAACATTCCTAAAGTGGCAAAATATATGAGCTGAGATTTGTCATCTGTAGGGTGGAGGGTGTGGTCGATGGCGTGACACCTAGGCGAGATGCCTGGCAAACTGCAGACTACTGCAGACCACGGTACAAGACTAACAAAAGCTGTTTTGATTTAGCGAGGTGTACTGTGGGTGTTTTCTGGGGACCTATTGCTGTTTTTCAAGCAGCTTTTTCTGCACTAAATCTGGGTGTTTTCTGGGGACCCATGGCTTTCCAGCAACTTTTTAAGCAACAAATGTGGGTGTTTTGAATTGACCTCTCTGTTTTTCAAGCAACTTTTTAGGCCCCAAATATGGTTTGTTTTGTTTTTTTTGTAGTGACCCATTGCTGTTTTTCCAGCAGCTTTAATGGCACCAAATGTTGGTGTTTTGTATTGCCCCGTTGCCGTTTTTCCCACAACTTTTTAGGCATCAAATGTTTGTGTTTTGAAGCAACCCGATGATGTTTTTCAAACAACTTAGGCACAAAATGTGGGTGTTTTCAGGGGACCCATCACTGTATTTCCAGCAACTCTTTAAGCAACAAATGTGGGTGTTTTGAATTAACTTGTCTCTGTTCTTCCAGCCATTTTTAGGCACCAAATGTTGGTGTTTTGTCCTGACACGTCACTGTTTTTCCCACAACTTTTTAGGCACCAAATGTTTGTGTTTTGAAGCAACTCGTTGATGTTTTTCAAACAACTTCTTAGGCACTAAATGTGGGTGTTTTCTTGGGAACCATCGCTGTATTTCTTCAACTTTTTAGGCACCAAATATGGATGTATTGAATTGACCTGTCACTGTGTTTCCAGCAACTTCTAAGGCACCAAATGTGGGTGTTTTGTAGCTACCCAGTGCTGTTTTTCAAGGACCTTTTAAGGTACCAAATGTGGGTGTTTTGTAGTAATCCGTCGCTGTTTTTCCAGCAGCAGTTATGGAATCAAATGTTGGTATTTTGTCCTGACACGTTGCTGTTTTCCAACAACTTTTAGGCACCAAATGTTGGTGTTGTGTAGCAAACTGTCACTGCTTTTTCAGCAGGAATAGTGCCATGAAAACCAGGTATTTTAACCCAAAACGTGATCATTTCCTTACCATAAATAACCAAGTGTTTTTTTTGGTGTCTTAACCTAATTACAAGTTAACTACAGCACTGTTGAAATGTGAAGTTTCAGTGTATCTGCTACATAACAAGGTGCAAATGTTACGTATCCATGGTATGCAGAAAAAGTGCAACACCAATATTTTTTCTGGCGTTTGGGCTGGGGAAAGACAGACTGACAGAAACTATTCAATAGAAAGTTTCCTGATGACATGAATTGACTATGTGTCAGTGTCAAAAATGTGTCAGTCCTTGCTCTGTTTCAGCCCAAGAAAACACAGAGCCATCCTTTACAAAAGACTATAAATAGTACAACCTTGAAATCTCCTGTTTTAGTGAATGTACCTGATTTTATTTTATCTTTTTTAAATCTTTTTTTCGCTAGATTAGACTGCAATTAAATATGTAAATGACCTCAGAGCATTCCAGGAAAATACCAGTTCACTGGTGCGACACTGCTTTCATCATTGTGTGCCGACGCCAAAACTGGACCTGAAGTCCCGTAACAGCGTGGTGTCTTTTTTTCTAACACCATTTTTAATCAGAGTCAAGGAAGGTTGTTAGAAGAGGATAAAGGATGTGAATTAAATGTAAATTTGAATTTAACTTCACCCTAATTTCCATATAACCTAAGGGACAGCTCTGACCTCTGATCTCAACCTGACGCAACCTGATCTGCAGCCTAACAGGAAGTGTCAAGTGTCAAGTAATACACACATGTCCCCTCCTTCTGGCTCCATGCTTCCACAAGCTCAGCTGATGTTCAGACAACATGGTCGGTGGGCGAGACAGAGACAGAGCGCCGCCATGCTGCTGGGCCAGCTCCAGAGTCAGCTACACACACACACACACACAGATTCATACACAGATCCATATTTAAATCCAGCCAAGCCCACACAGAAAGACAAAGCAACATGCACATACAAAGACAGACAGAGAAAGCAGGTTGGGAGTAAAAAAAAATAGAGAAAGAGACAGAGAAAAAAGGAAATGAGCACAAGTACAGAACTCATTGAGCTAAAGGTATAAATACAAATCGTACACACTTTAATCACATCTAAAAACACATTACATTTTGAGTTTCAAGTTTTAACATGCTTTAGAGGATGACATATGATTAACCTATAGGCTATGCATCCCTTTGACCTTATGACCTTCCCTCAAGCACCACCTTCAGAACAAACTTCATCGTACTACTGGCTGGGTTTTAAGACCAAAATCATTAGCACATTATTCGGGGGGTTTTTTGGGGGGAGTTTTTCCTTATCCACTGTGAGGGTCCTAAGGACAGAGGGATGTCGTATGCTGTAAAGCCCTGTGAGGTAAATTGTGATTTGTGATATTGGGCTTTATAAATAAAATTGACTGATTGATTGATTGATTCATTCATTCATTCCATCCACAGTCTGACATGACAGCTCCCAAAAAGTGAAGCCCAAACATCTTAATCTCCCCCTGGTGGCTGTCTGAAAAAGAATCAACTTTCATGGCACCAAATGTTGGTGTTTTGTCCTGACACATCGCTGTTTTCAAGCAACTTTTTAGGCACCAAATGTGGGTGTGTTGAAGCAACCAGTTGCTGTTTTTCCAGCATTTTTTTTGGCACAAAATTTGGATGTTTTGAATTAAAGCTATAGTTGGTAATCCTGTTCAGAAACACTTCTTGTTATACTGGGTGAAATGGTCCTTCGATCCTGAGTGTAGTCAATACATAATGTGTTCAGAAAAAGGAACGAAAAAAATCTGACGTCTGCGGCAGCTGCAGGCCTGTAAAAACTCTGACCAATCCCTGCCATTTGGTGCGAATGGAAAGAACCAATCAGATGCCTTCATGTCTCGTCCTGCCCGAGCCCCCCTCCGTCCCTCCCTCCCTCCTCCCTGCGTGCACTCATCATGTGTCACCATTGCCGGAAATATTCAGCACTCCTCAGCAGAAATACCAAGTTAGCAGGAGTTTGCTGCACAATGGCAGAGAAAATGCAGCCAAAAGTACCACTTCCAGTGTTACTTGTAACGGCTCACCCCGCTAAACAGGCTGAGAAAAGAAAGTCAGAGGCAGAAAAGGCGGGGACGAAAAAGGCTTTGGATAAAGCGAGAGGACAAACCAGACGTCAACATCTGTTCAGCTTTTGAACGGTGGAGACAACTGAGGGAGCTGAAGGGCCTGAAAAGTGATGCAGAGGTTGCTGTCTTTCTGTTGGACAGGTAATTATTTGTTTGCTTCGGGGGGATTTGTTATTTTACTCGGCTCTCCTCTGCCCTGCTGAGTCTGACTCCTACTGCAGGATGCGCATTCAAGCTTGTGTGGGGCCGTGGCTTTGGACGGAGCACTGACGGGGGGAGGAGGGGGTGGAGCTTAGAGGGGGTGCCGCTTTCAAATTTTGCTAGCTCTCCAACATTACCAACTATAGCTTTAACCTGTCACTGTTTTTCCAATAACTCTTTAGGCACCAAATGTGGGTGTTGTGTAGTGAGCCGTCTCTGTTTTTCCAGCAACTTTTTAGGCACCAAACGTTGGTGTTTTGAAGCAACACATTGTTGTTTTTCATCAACTTCTTAGGCACTAAATGTAGGTGTTTCTGGGGACCTATCGCTGTATTTCCGGCAACTTTTTAAGCACAAAATTGGGTGTTTGGAATTAACCCGTCGTTTTTCCAGCAACTTTTTCAGCACAGTCTACTGGCTGCAGTATAGGTCAAAAAGCCCACCCCCTCCGTATTAGCAGAAATGGAGACATGCCGTCCATCTTTAGTCTAAAGTAGGGATGCACAATACTGGATTTTTTTGCCGATATCTGAAATGCCTCTACATAACATAAACAAAACTCTAGTCAGCGTCAGGGTTTCTGTGAAGTGCGGTAAAGTTTAGTTGATTCAAAACACACCCAAAACACACCCAAAACACACATTAAACACACATTAAATATGGCTTAATAGAGACAATTTCAAACTCAAGTACACAAATCAGCTTCACTATAACTCGCAGCATTCGCAGATAAACACTTGTCTTTATCTGGACACATTTTCCCCACAAATACAACATGCTAACGTTATTAGCACAAGCCTATGGCATTTTACATTGTATAAATTAGCGGGAACTGCCCACTGGTTCGACAGCCCATTGGTTCGACATCCCATTGTTCCGACCATATTAAACTCATTGTTCCGAAGTCCATTCCAAAATCATCATGATGCCCTGTGGTTAAGGTCTGGTTAGGTTTAGGCACAAAAACCACTTGGTTAGGGTCAGGAAAAGATCATGGTGTGGGTTAAAATGAAAAAGAAAGTGACAAACACATAAGCCGTGCGCCTGCTCCGCCTCAAGCCGGTCGCGGCGCACCATACGCCCACCGCGAGCCGTTCAGCACCAAGGACAGTCGGATTAATGGGATGTCGAACCAATGGGCTGTCGAACCAATGACATGGACCCTAAATTAGCCTAGCGACGATCGGAGATTTCCTCTGCTCATATGAAGCCAGGATAAATCACATACAGTGTGTGGAGGCTTTATTGTCTTCACAATTTATTGTTTCTTATCCGTGAAATTAAAGTAAATAAGGGCTTCCTTTCCACTGAAGGAAATGGTTTCACTTCACAAAAACAGACGGGTCTGTATCGCCGCAACGTGTAGTTAGATTTCTGGTGAGGTGCAAGTTTGGCTCGGTTTGGGCTCTAGGGTCAACGCAGAGCCTACGCTGTAGGTACAGCGACAATTCGATGCAGAAGTATAAATCCTGCATTATTTGGCCAATAAGTGATACCTAAATTGATATATCCACTTTTTCCCCACCTTTTTCATGAAGTCTCTTCTGTAGTGGAATTATTTAACATCATATTATACATGCATACTCTTATTGTGACGGCCCACCAGCAGATGGACACATGAAATACAATACTGTCCAATGTACATAATATTCATTCATTGTGCAAAGAAAGAACAAGCATGTTAGGTAATTCCAGTATCGCAAATATCTGCAGATACCAATGACGTACCGATATTATAGTGCATCCCTAGTCTAATGAACACTGCAGGCTCAGGGGCCACTAAAAGTGTTTGTTTCACAGACACCCAGTGAGGACTCACCACAGTACAGTTACTGGATGCAGATATACACTTCCTGTCCTCGCACCACTGGCAGCCCCGTGTGTTGGCGGTGCAGCTCGCACAGTCTGAGAACCGGAAACACTGCTCGTCTGTACTGTCTGCAGGAGGGCACAACACACACACAACCATGAACACAAATGTAGTCATGTTTTTCCCTCGTCAGAGGCTGAGGAATGAACCACAGAAAGATTATTAAAGGGAGAAATGCTAATTGAGTGCATGGAGCAGGCGCATGAGGAATTTAACCTGTCAATGTAATCACACATGTTATTTTAATTCTGCATATCAGAGAAATATATAATGTGTGATTACTCTAGGCTGTCTCCACTTAACGCTCCTCAGTTTGCAGCTGTCACAGTAAAGTGTCTAATCTTTAATTCTACCCTTCAGGTGAGGTGAGTTCTCACTTCTTGCTGTATTAGAAGAGATTTATGCATCTGCTGGGAATAAATTATCTGATTAGAAGTGCGCCGATCAATCGCTACTAATCATAATCGGCATAAACGTTTTTAATGTTCTAACAATTGTTGAGCACAGGAGAAAAAAGTCTCAGTCAGTCTGCATCAGTCAGAAAAGGCACTGGAATGTCCATCTGGTATGATTCTCAAAATATCTGGTGTATGTCAGGAAGTTGCACTGCACACTCATGTGGCGGCCATGTGCAAGCCAGTAATGTCTTCATGAAGTGTAAACGAGCATGTAATCACAATGTTTAGATGTGATTAAAATATATTTTGGCAGTTATGTAATTATGCAGCTTTATTCCAGTCTGCTCATTCATACATGCTGTGCTGTCGTTTGTAGAATAAATATGCATGTGAGATTACAGCAGAGGCTGAACACTGATCTGGGACGTGTGAATCAGTCAGACTTCTACCATGCCTGGTTTGTTTCTTTAGTGCCTTAAACAAAAATCTCTATTTCATGTTTTTGACAGCAATTTATCAACTATTTTTGTACAATTTATATCATACTATATTTGTATTTTTCTGCTGTTCCAGCCAGCCATTGGTTTACATTTATTTCCATAAATCATAGGACTCTAGAAGCAGACTCTTCTGTTATTTCTAGGTACATTTTGTCACAGATTTTGTGTGTGGTGTTTAAATGACATAAAATCCAAGCTTCAGATTGGGACATAGCACTGTAGCCACCACTTTGAAAGTCACTGATGATATCAAAGAGGCTATAAACAATAACCTTGCATGTTTATAGACCTTACAGAAGCTTTCAGTACCACCCACCCCTCATTAACACCTTGTTGTGTGCTGGCATTTGATGCAGAGCTGCAAAGTGGTTCCACAGTTATCTGACTAGCCGTACACAGATTCTTAAACATGGTCACAGTGTCATGTCAGACAAAGTCGCTGAGGTGAAGGGTGTCCCACAAGGATCGGTTTTGAGACCCTTGTTGTTTTAGTTTAAATTAATGACTTGACTTGACTTAATCCTCTTGGCCCCCTTGGGAGCATAGGGCATCCACCATGGATCTCCACCTCACTCTCTTCTGCACGATGGTCTTCGCTTCTTGCCAGGAGGTCCCCGTCTTGGTCAGTTCATCAAGCGTGGACCGCCTCCAGTTGGATTTTGGTCTCCCTGGCTTCCTCTTGCCTTGAGGATTATAGTCCAGAGCTTGTCTTGCTATATTTCTCGGATCCTTCTTAAGTGTATGGCCGATCCATCCCCACTTTCTGGATTTGATTTTGTTGTGGATTTGCTCCTGATTCATGCATCTCCACAGTTCTACATTTGATATCTTGTTGGGCCACCAAATCCTCAGTATGTATCTGAGACAGTTGTTGATAAACACTTGCAGTTTATCAGTGATTGATTTGGTGGTTTTCCAGGTTTCACAGCCATAGAGAAGGACAGATTTTACGTTTGTATTGAAGATTCTTAAACATGGTCACAATATCATGTCAGACAAAGTCGCTGTGGTGAGGATCGGTTGTGAGACCATTGTTGTTTTAGTTTAAATTAATAATACCTGTGATAAGTTCCAATCTGCAAGTACCATTTGTATGCAAATGACACAGTCTGGATTCTGCAAATTTTAGAAAAAGGCTCCAGGCCTCCAGATGTATGATGCACATAGTTGACAAGATGTTAAAAAAAATGTTTTTTTCAGTATATAGGCTACACATTTATACAATTGGAAAATGTAAGAATCACTTTAGGTCTACAACAATGATCTTAATGTTATTCATTTCCATATAATTATTTGTCAAAGCCACAGAGAGCTGCTGGAGAAGGGCTAAAGAGCCGCAGGTTGCCTTCCCCTGATCTTAAGTCACGCAAATGGCTTCAGTTTAAAGTGTCTTTTATCAGCCCAGGGCCGCTGGCAAAACAAGACTGTTCTACTGCGGCCCCTGGTCCTGAACAGACTGCAGGCCAAGCTCGAACTCAAGACCCATGTCTCTTTACTTATTTTAAACTTAGAACAAAGGAAGTGATCATGAACAGTTGCAGCCACTTCGTTTAACAAACAAATTCTAGATTAAATATTGCCACCATATTAATGAACTGTATTTTGTATTGTATATTTTGACATACCTGTTGTCACTGTAGTGAACTGATGTTGTTGCTCTGTTTGTATTTGCTGCTATATGACTCTGTCTTGGCCTGACAGGTCTCATTTGCAGGAGGTTTTAATCTCAATGTGACTTCCTAGTTAAGTAAAGGTTATATAAGGTAGATAGTTTCACTCTGGATTCATTTGAAGCATCTGCACTTCATTATCTTACAGTGATCCTGTGACCACTGTGATGGTAATGATATAAAATGAATGTAAAGCTTAGATGATTTGTGGCAAACAGACTTACACGTGAATAAACACTGGTGTGGTCCTTTAAAGCAGTCAATCCATTATGTCCTATATTTAAAACTGACAGTACCACCAAGAGCGTGATTGCTTTTAATTTAAACCTGCAGTGAGCCGCCTGAAGCAGAATACCTGGGAAAGCTACAGCATCTAAATCTGGCAGAGACAGATGGGGGGGAGGGGAAGGAGGGTTTGGACTGAACCTAATTATTTCAAAATGAGGTAATTGTTGCAGCACTGACCTTCTGTTCCCATAATTACGGCATGCAAACAAACTTCAGAAGCCAGACCCTTCAGAATAATTATTATTCTCATGAAAAAAGTGGTCTTTGGGGAGCAACACTTATGCTGGATTGTGCTGTACATTTCAGGGAGAAGATGTTGACATGACAGGGTAAATATGCCTGGACAAAAAAGGCAAAAAGGTCCAGTGTGTCAGATTTACAGGGATAGACTGGCAGAAATAGAATATAACATAATAAGTATGTTTTCTTTAGTGTATAATCCACTGAAAATAGGATTCATAGTGTTTTCATTTTCTTAGAATCAGTCGTTTATATCTACATAGGGAGCAGGTCCATGTCCACGGAGATCGCCATATTTCGACAGTAGCCCAGAACGGACAAACATTCACGTTTTTACTTCAGCCATCGAAGTTAGCCGCCCCTCCGCGACAAGAGCATCAGAAAACACTGATTTATTAATGTGCAACTGTTTTATTTAGTGTGTAACTGGTTTAAATCCCCAGGTCTGTATGTTTTGGTGAGGAAGAGACCTCTGCAGATAATTCAGCTCAGCTAAAAACCTCCTGAACGTCTGGATCTTAAGTCATCAGAGACAAATGTAAGCACATATATCCACCTGAGACCCTGTGTCCTCATATGACGACATCTCATTTAGGGTTTACTTGACCTGATACTTCATTTTACTATCTTAGACCTGCTGTCCTCGTTCGTGGACACTTTTTGTGCCATCTAGTGGTCGTAAGAGCACAATACACTAACCTGTGTAAAAGCAAGATGGCAGCCATCTCTGCCAAGTCAGTCCCGACACAAATGTGGACAAAGTCCAAAACTTGATCACATTTTATGGTTCAGACTTCTCTATGTATGATTAATAATGTTTGTAGTTTGATACGGCAACAAGATTGACCAGTTTTAGCAACGGTAACTAGCTAAGCTTTTAATTAGGAAGTACTCGTTTGAGGACTTTTGGACTTCATTATCGTCTCGTTTGAGGACATTGGGACTTAATTATTGTAAAAAATGTTTAGTTTTTTATACTCATCAGGTCCCACTGATCCCAAATAGCTAAGAGAAATTAAAAATTAATTTTAACGGTTTAAATCAGAGTGTCCACTTCTTTTGGAGAGGAAGAGACCCCTGCGGATATTTTGGCTTCTCAGCATGTTGGCCGATTCCAATAGTTCATATAAAGCCAATACTGGCTGATACTGATGACATGCCGATATTATCGTGCATCCCTAGTTAGGGCTGCACGGTATATGCGGTAGACGGTAGAAATGATATAAATTTGGCCCACGGTAGAGATTTGCGCTCTACCATCCTATCGTCGATGACGTCATCGCACCTTCCTCAGTGTGAAAATGGCTGCTAGCACAGAGACAGTGGAGTAAGAGGATCTGGTTCACGTCCGTGATTTAGCGTAGCACGTGCAACATGTGTTGCTGGAGAACTTGTGAGTGAGTGAGTTAATGTCTTATGAACAGCCCCGGACTTCTCAGACTCTTTTAGCGACTTACCGCTCAGAGGGAACTCATTCAGTGTCTCCTCTGGCAGCAGCACAGCGTCTCTCCCTCTCCTCTCTCGCCGTGCGCACACGGGAGTTGGTTTTCTGCAAGAGAGTTTGTCATAAACCTTTGGTAATGTAAACCTATGTGACACTAGGGGCTCCACAAAAAACTCCATATGTGAATGTGTGATAGTTGTGGTATCATAGCAGCCTGTCACAGGTTACAGCGTGATGATTAGAGGAGAAATGGCAGAGCATAAAGGTCCAGGTGGAAAAAACACAACTCAGTCATTTAGGATTTTGCTAAAAGAAGGAAATAACCTTTTGATATATATCCCAGGGGCCTTTTTTCACCATAGAGTACTGGGTTTTAATTTTGAGTTTTGAGATCTGCATTCTGCACAATAAATGCTCTAAAAAATACATTATATCTTTGCTTTTGTTGTTGTTGTTTTTTTTTTATCAATTTAGCTTTGCTAAGGGACTACAAAACCCATTCAGAAACACTTCTATTATAACTTTTACACTTAAATTTATACCGAGATATATACCGTTACCGTGAAGGGATTCGATTTATACCGTGATATAAATTTTAGATCATACCGCCCAGCCCTATCCCTAGTAAAAACCTCCAGAGCAATGAACACTCTTAGGAATCCTCACCACTATCTCACCTATCCTCTTTGCTAGATGCCACAAAATCCACCTAAATCTTACACACTGTTCCTTTAGAGAATCAGCTGTGTAGACAGGACCTCAGTGTAACTTACCAGGTCGTGCAGGGCAAAAAGGAGCAGGAAAAATGTTCTCGGCTGCTTTCGGCTCCCAGGGGACACATCCATTTTTGATCCAATGGCAGCGAACGCCTGGTCCAGCAGCAGCACAGGTAGCTGGGGTAGAAAAGGCCTGGCAGGACGGAGGGGTGTAGGCCAACACGTCGTTCAGAAGGAGGCCCGAGAAACCTCCAAAGATGTACATGGAGCTGCAGGAGAGATGGAGAGAATTACAAGGAATCACAACAGACACCTGTACTGTAGCTATGGACGGAAGCAACAAAGCAAAAGATACAACGAGTCTTCAAGAGACAAGGAATGACTGCAGTGATGAAGACAGATGAGGAGGTGTTGAGATCCTTTCAAAGACAGAGCTGAACTTTATGAATGAATCGAGAATCGTTGGTCTCAACTGGGCTTTACTCTTTGATTCGAAGGATCCGACGTTCATCAAAGGTGCTTATCAAAAAATGTAATTATCCAAGAAACCTTGGTGATGTCAGATCATCTGCAGTCAAAAAAACAACTGCAGCAAACAGTCAAAAACAGTCTCACAGAAGTTCTAGGCCGACAATCCAGCGATTCAAAACCCACATTACAATTCTTGTAGAAACCACAGCACCAGTATAGAAAAATATTATTGACCAACTTTTCTGTGTGAATGAAGCCAGCAAAATACAGTGAAACACTCAAATATGGGAGAGGTAGAAATAGAGCCCTCGACACGAGAAAGAAATATATAGAGCATATATGCACTGTATCCATACATAGAAGGTATAAAGAAAGTTACTGAGAAAGTAAAGCGAGAGAAACATCCCCGTACAGACAGGAGGTGATGTGGCAGAGACGCAGCCCAAGTTTCTACACTGAGAGCTTCAGAGACATCAGCAGAGGAAGAAGTGACAAGAGAAGTGTAAACTGAAACTAAATATAACATTGGGATGAAGAGATCAATCCATAAACAATCGACACAACAAAACCGCAACCTGAAAGGGAAAAGCAGGGAGGAACATCAACCGAGACTCTCAGTGCTTCCAAAACTTAGAGGACACAGCGGGAAGACATCAAGGAAATGTAAAAATATGCAGGAATAATGCACAGTGAATTGTTTTATTTGCATATATATAATTGAGTAGTTTAGTGGATTATGTAGCAGATTTACACAGATTTAAACATCAGCGATGGCAGGTACACTCTGCTGAAGTGTTCTTATGCAAAGCAATAAATCTCCGGCAAATTCAGACATGTAGTGTACCAGATATTTTACAGAGATGAGTGATGATTAAAAAAGGAACTTGCAGATGGAGTTTGGGAGAATAAGGATGGCGCTCACCCATTGCTAACTATGGCAGAATGTCCAAAGCGGTTGGTGTCCCGGTGCAGGCCTGGTCTGGGGAGGACGGTCCACTCGTCACATGCTGGAGAGAAGCACACACACAGACACAAGTGGCTTAAATACAATATATTCACGTCAGTGTGACTGAAATGAGAAACTGCAAAAGGTCAAGTCAAGAAGAAACAACCAGACAGAGGACTGTGCGCAGCGTCTCTGACCACTGCAAGATGCTTTTATTGAACACCTATTTATTCTGTAAGCAGTAATGCAAAAAGTATACCAGGACTCATTATCCATCTTTTAACCCGTCCAGGTCCTTCATCCATTCCAAAGGATATAACTTTTTTTTTTTTAGGATGTCTAGATATTTGATAACATCTGACTCCACCTCATGGACGTATGAAGAGACCTGGATACAGCATCAGCAGCAGGGCGCTGTTCACTCCTATGACAGTTGCTCAGTGGTGCTTGAAGCCAAAATCATTCTACGTCCACGGTAGAAAATTACCCGGATGACTAGCGCCACTTCAGAACAGGGACACAAGAGACTTACTGAGTTCAGCTGAGCAGCCATCTTCTGCCGGCAAAGCAACTGACTTCTGGCTAAGCGCTCTGCTAACTTGAATGAGGTTTAATCTTGCAGGTCTTTTAGACTTTCCAAATGTTATCGGACTTTATGGTTTATACTTTGATAGTGGAACTAGTGATTTCTGGGGGATAGTGACACTGAGAAGAACTTTTGTACTTATTTACAGACATCTCTTTCCCAATGTAGGTCTAGGTCTATGGTCTAAGTCTTTTTTTTGATCCCAATGGCATCGCATGACAGACCCCAGAAATGCAGTACCACTGTTTGGCTACTACGAAAACTAGCTTCAAAGCCTACCACACTACCTGCTCAACCTAAATGCACAGATTTATTTGATGGGATGTCTATGAGCCAATCAAAGTGTTCCACATCATTTTAAGTGGACTGCAGTAAAGCCACGCCCCCTTTTTCAACAAGCGTGGTTGACTGTGAGGCCAGGAAGAAAAGCATGGTACATTTTGATCTATTGAATATATTGTTAGAGTGCAAAATCTGTGTTTCACCTGTGTTTAAAGTACACACGAGATGTTATATTACTTATACATGTCGAAAAAATCACATAAAGATCTATAACTTTTACTCAGGATTTTTTCAAAGGTTTTTTTTTAAATATCTGTCTATTGAAATGAATGGGGGATCTGAAAGTCAACTGAAAATAAATAGAGATATACAGTTTAAACACGGAAATACAGTACTGATTTGATTCTCTAATGATACAATCAGCTTTTAATACATCTTATTTTATTTATGTCGACAGAGTATTCATCTCAGGTTGTTTTAAACGCACTGTTTTCTTGAGATACTTCATAAATTAAGGATATTTTAAGTAGTGATGACAAATACAATAGGAAATATATATGCTGTGTGTTGCAAAGCATCACTTTATTCACTGATATGAGTTCAATTTTCATGTAAAATAATAAACTTGTGGGGTTTTTTTGTTGAAAAAAAAAAATCAGTTGAGACCATTTCTTGTCGTTCTTTACCACTAGGTGGTGTCTACGTTAAGATTCTTCATCCATTGGAATGGACAGAAAAAATAACACAATAAAGTATTCTTTTACTTTTTGCTACTGATTCATGAGTGCATTAAGAGTAGAAATCCACCATTACAATATGTTTTTGTGTGTGTTTGTTTGGAACATAATTGGGTTCTAAACTGGTGGAATATACGGTTAGTTTAGAAAATAAAATACAGTATTTCTAATGCTGATTTAAGTTTTGATAAGAAGTATATTTGCTGTGTGCTGGCATTGAATTCTAACACTCTATCGTTTTAAATATTGTAAAATTCCCTAGAATTGGAAAAAAATGGTCTTGGCCTAAACGATGCTATTTGATATTATTTTGTCTCATTTTGGCGCAGTTGTACGTCTCATATTGAGTGACACATCATTTCTAAATCTCTCTTATATTTTTGGAATAAGGAGCAGATATGTTGTTGCTTGTGAGGAGAAAGAACTGAGCAGGGTGACCCACAATTCAACCCCCTCCTTTCATTTCATCCCGAGGAATAAGAACTCATTATGCTAACCTTTTCACATTAAATTACGGTGCTACAGAGAAGATAGGGACAATAATCTGGGAGATGACTTCATAAAACACTTCACACCACCAAATATCATCATAAAGTTCTCCTCTCTCTGTCTGGTTATCATTGAAGCTATCAGTTCTGTGTATTTTACTATTTGGGTTTTACAACTCTCTGATGTTTTAATGACCCCGACGTGCTCCCATTATATTCATATGGAAATGACTGTGAGTGTGTGTGAGTCTGCGGTGAGTTAGTGTAAATGTGCCATTTAGCCAGATGAGCCTTCCCCGAATGTAAACGCAGCGCCGGTAGAGTCGGGGACTCGGGGACGCCAGGTTGCTAACGACCTCGTTAAGCGGTGTGCTAATTGGGAGCGCTTGTTTAAGAGCGAGGGATGCGGCAGAGGACACGGTGAGAGGATGGGAAGAGGTGGGGGGGTCGTTCTAATCAGCACCAAGAGCAATGAGCTCATCACCAGCAGGGGTTAAAGGTCAGTCGTATTAACATACCAACTAGGGTGACGCTGATACAATCAAGCGGAGCTGAGACCTGAGCGTGCGTTCCTTCTATAATGACATGTTTATTCTTTGTTGGAATAGTTTTATATTTTGAAACTTAGTTCACCTCGTCACACGTTCACATTTGGTCATGGACTTTCCACGTCCACATACAACGTCCTAGGTACCCTGGGTGTGTTGGCTGTTGACGCTCTGGGACGCCGTGTCAACTTCACCCTGTTACATGCATTGTCTGTTTTCAAAATACACTTCTGTTTTCACAGGAAATGTACAGTTTGCACACAGTCTCTTTCAAAATAAAAGCACTACGTCGATACAACACCACAAATTGATACCTTTTTTCCTTCAACAACAAACTACTACTCAGATATCTTCTGCCTTAACTTCCATTGTTGTCCTGCCATGCTTCCCCCCGACGCCACTGGATGCTGTTAAACAATAACCGGCCGCTGATCATGCCCATGCCAAAGGACGGCTTTTTCATTGGTGTCTGATACCAAAGTTACTGAACACCTGCTGGCTGTCGATGATTTTGGAGTGAGACGTCACACAGGGTCCACACTCTACCTAACTCTATGGGTAATACCCTCCTATGATCACAAGCACGGATTACCCACTGATATTTGCATATATGTAACTGGCACGTCAGGACTTGCCTACCTGAATACATGCAGACCCAACAGTATTAGGAGTGGGCGATTTGGTTTCCCCCTGTTTGAGTCCTTATGTCCATCTCAGCTAACAGGCTGTTGGCTGAACTGTAGCGTCATATTTAGTTGTTACTAAACTTTCCATATCACTCTCTTTTAAAGAAACTGCCTTGATTCTTGGTGTCATAGATCAAACAAGGTGCTGGAAACATTCCTCAGAGATTTTGGTCCATATTGACATGATGACATCACACAGTTGCTGCAGATTCGTCGGCTGCACATCCATGATGAGAATCTCCCGTTCCAGCACATCCCAAAGGTGCTCTATTGGACTGAGATCTGGTGACTGTGGAGGCCATTGGAGTACAGTGAACTCATTGTCATGTTTGAGATGATGTGAGCTTTGTGACATGGTGCGTTATCCTGCTGGAAGTAGCCATCAGAAGATGGGTACACTGTGGTCATAAAGGGATGGACACGCTCAGCAACAATACTCAGGTAGGCTGTGGTGTTTAAACCATGCTCAGTTGGTACTAAGAAAATCTCCCCCACACCATTACACCACCAGCAGCAGCCTGAAGCGTTGATACAAGGCAGGATGGATCCATGCTTCCATCTGAATGTGGTTTTTCCAATCTTCTATTGTCCAGTTTTGGTGAGAAAACCCGTGTGAATTGTAGCCTCAGTTTCCTGTTGTTAGCTGACAGGAGTGGCACCTGGTGTGGTCTTCTGCTGCTGTAGCCCATCTGCTTCAAGGTTGGACAAGGTGTTGTTGCTTCAGAGATGCTCTTCTGCACACCTTGGTTGGAACCAGTGCTTATTTGACTTCCTGTTGCCTTTCTATCATCTTGAACCAGTCTGGCCATTCTCCTCTGACCTCTGGCATCAACAAGGCATTTTGGCTCACTGGATATTTTCTCTTTTTGGGACCATCCTCTGTAAACCCTAGAGATGGTTGTGCTGAAAATCCTCAGCAGTTTCTGAAATACTCCAACAACCATGCCACATTCAAAGTCACTTAAATCACCTTCCTTCCCCATTCTGATGCTCTGTTTGAACTTCAGCAGCTCGTCTTCACCATGTCTACATGACTAAATATATCAAGTTGCTGCCACAAAACTGGCTGAATGGCTATTAGCAAAAACAAGCAGTCTAACACATGTACGTAATAAAGTGGCTGGTGAGTGTAAGTCCAATGCCAATGATCAGCGCCAACTGAGGAAGCTTAATTCGATTTTTGAAGGTTGACATTTCTAGCACACACCAGAGCGTGCTGCCTGAGAGACATGACTCAGGGAGCAAAACTCTCTATGCTTAAAAGTCAGAAGTAAATCTTTTAGTTTTTCATTCATAGAACAAAATGTTCTGAACACAACCTGGCATCAGAAGCTGAGCGCTATAACAGTAACAAATGTTAGATGGTAGAAAAAGGTTGTAAAGTTGATAGGTAAGAGGCTAAAGCTCCTGTCGAACAATATGCGAGACAGCTGCTGCGGTTATTAACATTTGACATTTTGGAGTCAGTCTGGAGATTTAAATCTGTGATACCCTTGTGGAATCTATTTCTACATCTTGCATTAACACTGCTGTTTTGTCAGCTCTACTTTCATTCAACCTGCGAGGCCCTGTATCAAAGTCTCACCTCTGCTTAGGTGTGCTGCAGTGTGACAATTAAATTCCATCTGAAGCACGTGGTGTGTGAAATATGTTTCACTTCCGGCACTTGACACATGTTAAAATGAGTTTCAATAGAGCTGGGAAGTCAAAGAACTGTGGCCTGTTCCTTGAAAA